CCCCGAAAAGTTGTGAATTTGTTGAAAAATGGGATGATTAAATTGTCACTGCTGGTGCAGTTGTTTGCTGACAGTCAGGGACAGCATAGCACCCAGCTCTGCACCAGATCAGACTGTGGAATGGTTAATACCACCGAAAATTTGTGGGTATAGATGAGAAAGGCGGATCTCAGGTTGCACAAGGAACGTAAGTGCAGAGGGGGGAGACCAGTGAAGGTGTGTGGGATGGTGGGGGTGAAGGCAGGAGGAGGGTTTGCAGGGCTGGAGTGGACAGGGTGGGGAGTTCAGTTTGAGGTCCAGTCTGGCATTGTTTGCTCTTCATGGAGTGGAAGGTGGGGGAGAGTGGGATTTGCCCAGCTCCTCCTCTTAACCTCAACTTGCCAGCTTGCCCCTCGGGTCGCCTGCACATAGCTCGTGCAGCTCCATGGGCATGTCCCGCTTGTTGGCTGGAGTTTGTTTATTAGGGGCATTACACAAGGCTGTGCTGCCTCAGTAAAGCACCTAACAGTCTCCTCTTCCACAGGGTGATGGTGTTTATTGTTAAAACTTCCTCACAACTCCTGGGGACCCAGCCCAGTGCTCTGGCACTGGTGCAGCTCTGGGGCCGTTGCTTTGCCAGGGTGGACTGGCCAGTGTTGTGGCTCCTGAGTCGTCAGTACAGGAGGGATGAGGCTTTGTTCTAACAGCTCAGCTGGTGGTATTTTGTCAGCACCAGGAGGGACAACCTATTTGTGCTTATTTTCCTTCCTGTGCAGCTGAGCTGGGGCGAGTTGTCCCCACAACGCTTGCCCCTGCCCAGTACCTGGCTGCTCCGCATGCTTCACCCTGGGCTGGTGTCAGCTCGCTTCACCTGGGAGCAACTGCTTCACCCAGGCCTGGCCGTGGCAGGTCTGTGCTGGGTCACAGCACTGGGTCTGGGGTCCCCCGAGGCCGCTGCTTTGGCTTCTTGAAGCAAAATGGGAAGTGGCTTCTGGGAGAGCAGAGGTTTAGGCAGTGCTCTGCACCCTGAGGGCTGCCAGGGGGTTTCCTGGGGGAGTTGAGATACGTGACCAGACCTCCCTTGCCAGTGTGTTGGGAAACAGCGTTTCCAGCCCGCTCTGCAAGCCCCGAGAAGGCTGAACAGGGAAGTGAGAGTGCGAAGTGAAACAAAAGCATCTGTCCCACTTCCCGCTTCTCTCCCTGCAGTGCTGGTGCTCATGGACCAGGGCCTGTGTATTTGATAGAGGAGAGCGCTAAGAGTGATTCGTGGGACACAAGGCTTTTATTTTTGTACTGAGGGCCCAGAGGAGCAGAGCTCATCCCCTTTCTCGGAGTGCCCCAGAGTAGGAAGCCACCATTTACCTTCTCAAAGCCTGTTTTAGGGTGGTTGGTCTTAAAACATACTGGTGCTGGTCTTGGGAGCGTATGTGTGTCATTCTTTCAGCTTCCACCCGGGGCCACACCGAGGGGTCCAGCTGACCCCTCTGCAGTGCCAGGGATGTGGGGGAACAGTTGGGTCCCATCTCGTGCCCCTGTCCCATCTCCCGTCCTGGAGGCTGCTGCTGGCTGCAGGGCTGTCCCAGCCCTGTCCTGGGGAGTAGGATCTGGGGTGCCAGGATTTGGGGTACCAACATGCTGCTGCCTGAGGGGGTGGGTGGGTGTTTATCGTCCTCTGTAAGCGTCTCTGGAGAAGTCCTTGGCAAAACTTAGATCTTAACCAGACCAGAAGACACAGCCAGTGTACATGGCCATAGAAACTGTGTCCCAAGCCAAGGGGGAAAACAAAGTCCAAGACCAAATTAAAAGACCTTCCCGGCTTCCCAGGCTCTTCCAGCTCCTCTCATCAGGGCTGAGCAGAGGGACCCCAGTCTGGGCGTCCTTCCCTGCCTGGGCCGAGACCCCAGTTAGTGGCACTTGGTTTCAGCTTCCTCAATTCCAGCAGGAGCGACACTGGCTGATCCCCGCTGGCGCACTCCTTCCCAGACCCTGGCACACAATCCCCAGCCAGTGTCTGCTTGGGACCCAGCCTGGGACACGGGGCTGGCTGGGCAGGATGGGCGCTCAGCAGTGACAGACAGATGGACGGACATGCTACTGGTCAGGGAACTGAAAGCAGGACAGTGGGAATTGTTCCGGTCTGGGGTGCATTGTGCTGAGCAGCCCATGGGTGGGAGGCACTGTGCTCTGGGACTCACCCAGGATGAGGAGGATGGTGATAACCTGGCCTTGCACTGTGGTTACCCCAAGAAAGGGGATTCCGGCCAGGCTCTACACATCAGCAGCCACCTCCCTGGCTGCTCCCTCCTCTTCCTCCTCCTCATCCTTCCTCCCACCCCTCCTCCTCCTCCTCCTGCTGCCACCCTCCCCCGCTATATGCTTTGTTTCACTGCCTCTGTGCTCCCCCTCCCCCCTCTCCTCCTCCCCCATCCTCTTCCTCCTCCTCCTCCCTGCCCATCCTCCTCTCCATCTCCTCTCTGCCGCGTTCTACAGGGTTTCTCCCTGGCTGGAAGTGCGAGGCACTGAAGCTGCCCCCATTCTCCCCTCCATTTCTGGCTGGCAGCCCCCCGCCCCCCCCGCCCCCGAACAACCCTGTCTCTGGCCACTGGCTCTGTACAGACCATTTGCCATGAGGCATGGGTGCCCAGCTGGACCCTTCCTCCTGCCCGGGTGAGGGCAGCGGCTGGAGGGTGCTGGGGGCCGGAGGGTGCTAGAGGTGCTGACAAAGGGCCTAGCTGCCATGCCAGGGCAGAGGCAGTTGGAGCTTGGGGGAAGCAGCATCCACAAAACCCCTGGGAAGGGGTCTCCTCACTGAGTGTGTTGTACCCTGGGTTGAGGGTGTCCCATCCTGCAGCCAGATTCAGCACCCAGGTACCAATCATGTGCCATCAGTATCTCTCCCCTCCTCTGTTTTTTTTTCCTCTTCTCAGCAGTTCTCCCCTTCCCCACCGCCATGGGTATACCGTGTCCTGGCATTTTGGTGGGCACGGACCTGGCACAAGAGGCCACACAGACCATGCTCACCAGGAACCAGCAGGAGCAGGCAGCTGCCTGCACTCCGCTGGCACTGGTCTATTTGCAGGGGAGAGGCCAGCGTGCCCCAGCCAGTGCTGCTCGTCCCTGCGGCCCATAACTGGCCTGGCCAGCAAGCCAGTGTGGGGCCGTGCAGGTGCTGCATGGGAACCATGGGGATGATGAGCTGCTAACGCTGGGTTCCTGCGCTCCAAGAGGGCCTGCTTAGCCCAGGATTGCCTCTCAACGGCAGGCAGGTGCTCCTGGGACTGCAGCATAATCCGGTTTAGAGTTTATTCCTGTTTTACCTCCCCCATAGGATTTCTCTTTGTTGTAGCTGCAGAAGTAATTATATTTAGGAGAACATTCTTCACCGCAGGAGGAAGAGGCAGCCTCCTTGCTTTCATCTGGTGGCGGCTCTCCAAGCGCCTCCCTGCCAGTCCTCACTGGCCACCCCAGGGGGGAAGGTGCTGGGGGGGCCCTCTGCTGCTCCCCATCGATGGGGGTCCGCGGCTGGCTCTGCCCCAGGGGAGTAGGGCAATAGTGCTCTGGGCTCTGCCTCCCCCCAGGGCTCTGCCCTGTCCTCTACGGGGTGGGAATGGGGCTGTCGGGCCCCTGGACATGAGTGAGCTGAGCATGAGCATGTTCTCAAAGTGTTGTTTTAATCCCCACAACACAAATTGCATCAATCACCCTCTAGCTGAAGGGAGTGTTTTGGCAGCCTGTGCGCCTTTCCCCAGCCTGCCGGCAGGCAGACCTGCCCATGCCTCTGTGTCCTTCCTGCTCTTGTCCCCTCTGTCCCACTCGGGCTGATGCTCTCCCCTCCCTGTCCCAGCCTGAATCGCCAGGGACCTGCGGCCACCGACTGGAGGGGGCTGGGGATGGAGGGCGAAGCAGCATCCCCAAGGCGCAGGGGTTCCTGCCCTGCTCTGGACCCAGAGCTGAGCCCCGGGGTTTGAGAGCCAGAATGGCCAACAGTGGGCACAGAGCTGGGCTTCCCATCCACAGCTTACCATCCCCCCCGCAGCCAGGACCTAGATCTTGGGGTGTGTGGTGTCGTGGACCCGCACTGGCAACTCTCGTGTCAGTCTGGGGTTTGCTGGGAGTGGTGATGAGGAAAGGGGTGATGGCTGGAAGGAGCCCTCCACAGAGCAGTGTCTGTGGTAGCGGGAGGGGGCTAACGGCCATCTCTCTCCCTCCTCCCCAGCCATGACAGCGTAGGCAGGCGGCGAGAGATGGATCGCTTCACCGAGTGCGGGACCCAGACGGATGCGGTGGTGGTGCTGTCCCTGGCGCAGGCTGCAGTTCTGGGCTTGGTGTCTGAGAATGAGCTGCTGGGGGCCACTGTCAGCCCCGCCGGCTTCTTCCCGGGGCTGGGAGCGGAGCTGCCGGGTGCGGCTGCAGCGGAGCCTGGGGAGCCGGAGGGCGAGTGCCGGCTGGAGGGTGAGGGGCAGGCACCAGGGGATGGGCAGGAGGAGGACGCCTTGGAGGCAGAGTCCTCCCTGGAAAAGCATGCCCGGAGGAGGAAGCGGCCTCCAGTGAGGCTGGTGCCCAAGGTCAAGTGTGAGAAGGCAGAGGACGAGGTGCTGTACGAAGGGCCCGTTCCCGGCGACGGGGAGGGCGAGCAGCAGCGTGGCCGCCCACCGCCACTCCAGGACACCAGCCAGGAGCAGACGGTGCAGAGCAGTGCTGTGAAGATGATTGACCTTGGTGCCTTCGGCAGGAAGCCCCGGCGCCTGCGCCACCTCCGCCGGCACACGCGCCGTGAGCCAGAGAGCACTGAGGCGGCCGATGGTGCCCCCGCGGGGGCTTTGCGGACCGAGTGCGCCTTCGAGGCGGGCACCCCATCTCCTGGTGAGGCAGAGGCGCCGGCGTCCCCGGAGCCAGTGAAGAGTGAGCAGGGCTTCGGCTGGCAGGAGCCAGGGGAGTTGGAGGCGGAGGCGACGGGTGCCACCAGTGAGCGCAACAAGAAGGCGCAGCTGGACCGGCTGGACATCAACGTGCAGATCGATGACTCCTACCTGGTGGAGGCTGGGGACCGGCAGAAGCGCTGGCAGTGCCGCATGTGTGAGAAGTCCTACACGTCCAAGTACAACCTGGTGACCCACATCCTGGGCCACAACGGCATCAAGCCCCACTCCTGCCCGCATTGCAACAAGCTCTTCAAGCAGCCCAGCCACCTGCAGACCCACCTGCTGACCCACCAGGGCACACGGCCGCACAAGTGCGAGGTCTGCAGCAAGGCCTTCACCCAGACCAGCCACCTGAAGCGGCACATGCTGCTGCACACCGACATCAAGCCCTACAGCTGCCGCTTTTGTGGCCGGGGCTTCGCATACCCCAGCGAGCTGAAGGCACACGAGGTGAAGCACGAGAGTGGCCGCTGCCATGTCTGCGTGGAGTGCGGGCTGGACTTCTCCACGCTCACCCAGCTGAAGCGGCACCTCTCCACGCATCAGGGCCCCACGCTGTACCAGTGCCTGGAGTGCAGCAAGTCCTTCCACTACCGCAGCCAGCTGCAGAACCACATGCTGAAGCACCAGAATGTCCGGCCCTTTGTCTGCACTGAGTGTGGTATGGAGTTCAGCCAAATCCACCACCTCAAGCAGCACTCCCTCACACACAAGGTAAGAGTGGGGGGTGCCTCGGGCTCTCAGGGGGTGCTGCTTGTCCTGTGCTGGCTCTGGATGCAGGTGCTGAAGGTGTCCCCAGAGTCCTGGCCAGCCCTGGGAGAAGGGTGATGGGGGTGGGCCATTGGTTGGTTGCAAAGGGGCATTGTTCTGGGGCTGCCCAGCCTCCTTTCTTCCTGGGGGTCTCCATTCAGGCCTGCTGTGGGTGCTGTGGTGGGGTGACCTGGGGGACCCTGGCTGCAGCCGCCCCTGAGGGTTTTCCCCTCTCTCAAGGGGGAGCAATTGGACTGAGCCAGAGCGCGGAGCTGGGTCTTGGAGCTGGGCTTATAGAGCCTGTCCAGCCCTGCTCCCCACAGCCCCCCTTCCCACATGCTGGCTTCATACCGTGGCCGCACTCCCCAGCCAGCTCCTTCCCCAAGCTGCTCTCACTCCAGCACTGACCCAATATCAGGTTTTCTAAGGGCTGCAAACACATTTCCAGGGCGGGTGAGATGATGGTATCTGGCAGGGTCTAGGCAGTGGGAATTTTTCCCCAGAGTGGCACAGGGATGGCCCCAGGCTCTCCATATCACCTACTCTGTGTTTGCCGAGCGGGAGATGCTCTGGGAAAGGTACTGATGAGGGTTAATGCTCCCCAGTTCCTGCGGTCCAGCCCACTGATAGTCCCCAAAGTTCGGCTTAGCACAAGGAGCCCGTCCCGTGCCCCTCAGGGAGCACAGGTCCCCGCTCTGCACCGTGCCCAGCACCACTCCTGTACCCCTGGCTCCTGTGGGGTCTGTTCAGAGACCGCCTGAGCTGCCCCAGCAGCACAGGCAGAGCCTTGCCCACTGATGCTCTGCTATGGGGTTGGCTCTGCCCCACGCTCACGGCTCTCTGACCCCCTTGCAGGGTGTGAAGGAGTTCAAGTGTGAGGTGTGCGGGCGGGAGTTCACCCTCCAAGCCAACATGAAGCGGCACATGCTGATCCACACCAGCGTCCGTCCCTACCAGTGTCACATCTGCTTCAAGACGTTTGTGCAGAAGCAGACGCTCAAGACCCACATGATTGTGCACTCCCCGGTGAAGCCATTCAAATGCAAGGTACCCTTGGGGATCAGGG